TGGCAGTTGTCAGGAGGAGGTCAGTGGCCTTTGGCGGTTGTTAAGATTAGCAGTTAACCATTGTAAGGTGCTCGGAAGAGTGGCTGGCATCTGGCCAAGGCTATATAAGAAAGAGCCGTTTGATTATCCTTGTGACTGAGATACAGACATGGCCGGAGTCAGGAATCCCAGGAAATCTTGTAGCTCCACCTTCCTACACACAAGCAAAGTGGGGAGCCCCAAAGTTTGGGGTAGTGCTGTGACGCCAGCACTTGTCTTTTGAAGCATCCGGGTCCCTGGGGTTTCATAATCTTTTACATTCCACTTAGCCTCTGATCTATACCCAGGAAACGAGGGCTTTCAGACAGACGTTCTTTCCATCTTGACTGTGTTGGAACCTAACCGAGGAAAAGGCAGCCGAGCTGTCTGTTTGCGGCTCTTTGAAGGTTTCGAAAGCAATTCCCTTCCAATGGTGGGTGGGGGTAGCCGTGCAGGCTTCTGCACCAGGAAGCTTCTGGGCTGGCTGGGAGAAGTTGCCCTCTTGGAGGACCACCGCCCTCCTGGCAAAACACACACACACACCCCAGGATGAGTCATAATTTGGGAGCCCAAAAAAGAAGGCAGCTCTCCTCTCCTCTTGACCTCCCTGCTGCAGCCATTACTCCATTCCTCACAGGCCAGATTGGAGACTTGCTACTTTTTTAAAAAGGAAGAAGATTTAAAAAAAAAAAAAAAAAAAGCCCTCTACCTTTCACAAGCAACCGCTTCTTCCTGAGACTTTCTAGAAAAGCTCAGCTGGGCCCTGCATGTTGCTGGTCAGGGAGAACACAGCTTCTCTCCTTGCTGCCTGTGCTGGGCCAGAGCTCCTCTGTCCAAAGAATGCTCCAAAATGTCTCAGAGCACAAATCAGGTGTTCAGCTGGAAGCCTGCTTACCCTGGGGGCCTTCTAAGCCTGTCGTTCTCTACAGAGCCCCCTGGGGGGGTTGTTAAAGCAGTCCGCTGGCACACACACACACACACACACCACACACCCCACACCCCCACATCCCCACCCAGTGTTCCTGACTGGCTGATCTGAAATGGGGCCCTGGCATGCCTTTCTAACAAGGTTCCCAGGTGGTCACCAGGTACAGGTGCAGGGACTGCTGGTTGAAGCACCCATCCCCTCGTTTTACACAGGAGTGTGCTGAGGCTCCCTGAGGACAGGGTGAAGACTGTGATTCACCCAAGCCCCCAGGGAGTTGATGGCAAAGCCGAGATGCACTCCCTGGAGCCATTGGCCACCCGAGCCCACGCTGAAGAGGCTCTGAAGAAAGTAGAGATGAGCAAGGGTTCTGCAGCAGCTGGAGTTCATGGCTTCAGGATTCCCTGTTCTTCCTTTGGAGAAAGGCACAAGGTGCTTGGTTGGACCTGTGGTTCTTGGTGTGGGCCATATGGTGGTTCCTGTCAGCTGCCTGTGTTTCTGTAAGCCAGCACCCTCGCTACTGCAGGAGCGAGGTGACCTCTTCTCAAGCCTGCCGGCCTCTCTGGTTAGCTGCGAAGAGAGCCCCGTAGCCTGGGATGCCTACCCCAGCATGCGCGCGCGCGCGCACACGCACACGATCTCAGACTCATCCTGCCAGGCACAGGCCCTTGACACCTCCCTGAGACTCTCATAGCCAGCCATTGCTTTTATTTTTTCCTCCTCCCATCATCCTCGTTGGTCTGGTTCCCTCCCTGGGTGACAGGAGGTTCTAAGCCTCAACTTCCTGCCCTATTTACAAAACTGTTGCCATCAAGCCCAGTCTGACTCAGCAGTCCAGGAGGACAGAGGGGAGCTGCTTCGTAGGGTTTCCACAGCTGGACGCGTCACCGAGGCAGCAGAGCAAACAGTTCGTAGGCAAGCGCTTAACCACGGAGCCACCAGGGTGCCTTTCTCTCCCACAGAGTGGTGAGATCACCCCCTCTCAGGGTTGAAGTGAGGGTGCAATGAGAGAGTCCCTGGAGCACACCTGGTGCATTAGCGGATCAGTAAACAATCCTTGCTGTCATCATCGTCATCACCACGAGTATAACTTATCCCTCCCACTGCCGTCGAGTGGTGCTGACTTGGACAGGGTAGAACCGCCCCTGTGGGTTTCTGAGATTGTAGCTCTTGACGGGAGTAGAAAGCCTCATCCTTCTCACCAGGAGTGGCTGGTGGGTTTGAACTGCCAACCTCGCCACCGTGAGCAGCCTAACACATAACCACTATACCAGCAAGGCTCCTACCATAAAATAGGCCAGCCCCTTCTATTGTTCCTGTTTCCACAGCTACACTGGACTTCTTGAAAGCCGGTCTTTGCCTGTGTTATCCGAGCTGAAGTGCCCCGGAGTGGGGCCTGGCCCAGCAGAAGGGAAAGCCACATTTGTGAGCACATTTCATGGGCCACGTGTCAGGCTGGTGTTGGGCACTATCATTTAATCTTCACAGGGACCCACTGGAGTGTACTATTGTACCCTTTCACCAAAAGTCAATCAGGGAAGGTCGCACTTCCGCACAGTTCCCACCCCGCCTGTCGGTGTCGAGCATCTCACTCCAGATTCGGGATCCCCCACATGCGGGCCCCGGGTCCTTTCCTGCACTCTCCCCACTCATAACTCTGCCCACCGATTATCAGAGGACAGATCTCACGGGCTGTCCCCTGTAGACAGATCGGGAGACTACCTGCAAATCCCATTTCCTGTCTTGGGCTGTCAGCTCATTGGTGGTACTGTGAGACTGAAACCCAGCCAACTCCAGAAAGCAAGCTGGGAGAGCAAGGGTTGCAAATCTGGGACCAGCCCCTAGGAGGTGGGATGAGGGGAGAAGAGTGCACTATTAGGTCCTCAGGGAGGGGCAAAGTCAACAGGCGTGGTCCTCAGATCCATGTGGACATTGCCAGTGTCCTCACCCCACCCCCAGGCAGGAGTGATGGCAATGAGAGACCGCCTCAGGTCCCTAGAGTCCAATTTAGGGGTGCTGAACAGAAAATGAAACCAGACACTCAAGTGATGATGTTGAGGGGCCACCAGCCAGGAGGCAGGACTACTACCGGTGCCACCTTGTCTCGCCACTACCTGCCTGCTTACCTGTAGCCGGGGACAAAGCCCTCTCCCTCTGAGTGAGGTGAGGCAGGACAGACGGTAGCAGAGAGCTGAGAGAGCTGCTGGCTGTGGGAGAGCAGCAGGGTCTGTTTCACAGGGCTCAGCGGGCTGTGCAGGGTTGCAGGAGCAGGAGCTCAGTGCCTGTGTGGACAGCTCTTAGGGCCTCTCAGGTGGACAGGGCTGCTTTGTGTGGTCATGCACTCCCCATCACTGGTGGTGTGAGGTCGAGCCCCGAGGGGAGGGGACACTCTAAAGGAGATTCCTGTACTGACTGGCAGGGTGACCTAGACCAGTACCTCTTTTGTAAGAAAACAGAAAGTGTGGGATTTGCAGGGCATACAGTCTGTTTTGCAGCTGCTCCACTCTGAAGTCGGCCATCACTCATTCACTCACTGCCATTGAGTCATTCCAACTCATAGTGATCCTCCAGGGCAGGGTAGAGCTGCTCTTGTCGGTCTCCAAGACTTGTCAGTCTTCACGGGAGTAGAAAGCCTCATCTTGCTGCCTGGCGGTAGCTGGCAGTTTGAACTGCCAACCTGTTGTTAGCCCAATGCATAAACCCACTATGCCACCAAGACCCCTTGAAATCAGCATCAAGACAATACATAAACAACTAGGTGCATTGTGTTTATTAAATCTTTATTTGTGGACACTGAAATCTAAACATGTCGGGAGACATTATTCCTTTGGTTTAATGTTTTGACCCACTGTTAGGTCGCAGGCCACACAGATAGCTGGCTGCATTTGGCATGTTGGTCGCAGCTT